TGTAGGAAGAATTTGTTCCTATACTGACTCACTCAAAACAGAGGTCTGTGATAGGACTCCTTGGGTTACAGAGGTTCCTACAGGCAGTCTGTGGGCATCAGAATCTGAGTTCAACCTCACTAATTTCAATGATATGAAATAAGCACTAACATTTCCAAACAGTAATTTCTTATTCTATGACAGAATGTGAAAAACAGCTTCTCCCTTGTTGGCCTACTTCAAAGATAAAATGAATTTTGTGTCATCAGTAAGTGTATTACAAGCCACAGAGATAACCCTCATTGAGGAAACGCACCCTATATTCTAACGTTATGCACATATTAAAAAACATTTGTTCTATTGATTCTAAAATACTACTTACTAGTAAGATCTCCTACTGCCTTGTTTCTTATGTTAACACAGTCTGCAGAGTTATGAAAATGATTCATAAAGTGAATTTCCACATGTCAACGAAAGACTTGCTACTGCTTGATCCATTCCAGGCAAAACAGGTTTGGGCTCTTGAATTTAAGTATTAAGAGAAAATTTAATTTCTATTATTACAACTCTAGCTAATCGTTTAACCTATGAGCTCCCCAGGGGTATCTGTTGTCTCCATTCACCTCAGAGATAAGGACTCAGGGCTTTCTTAAGTCCTGACTCTGACTGGAGTAAAGGTGAAGCTGGCCCTGTTCCGAGAACACCGTGACCTTTGAATGTACTGGATTTCCCTTCACTAACTAAATGAAAAGAAAATTTCCAAGCTCAAAGCATAGCTCCCACTTTCAAATAGCCTATGTACATGTAACCTCTCAATGCATGTACAAGGTGCAAAAAGTATTGTTTGAACAATCATCTAGAATACACTTTTTTTTTTTATTGAAGTAGGACTGCATTACATGTTTCAGAAGAACACCACTGAAAATCAACATGTGTACACACTACACTGCATTTACCCCTGGAAGATAAAATTTTTTTAGTGATACACTCCCATTAAATCAGCAGAGCAGAAACAATGACTACAGCCTCAGGACCCAGCTGCCTGCTCAGTTCCCAGATGTTGTCTACCCACTGGAGGTGCGTCCTGCCTGTGTCTCTACTGGGTTTCTGTGCTTTGGCTCCCACACTCCCATGGTAAAAATTTTGTGATCAAAAATCACTGCCTTCAAGCCAGCAAGTCAAAGAGAAAATGGATTCACATCTTTCTTCTGTCCGAAGTCTGCCTTCACTCCCTACCCAGCAAGAACTCTCAGGTCTCATGAAGCTATAAAATGCCCATGCCTCTGTTTAAAATAATAATAACAGTAATCAACTTCCCAGAAGGTGAAAGCTATAGCAGAATCTCTTCCCCATTAACCAAAGCAGGAAAAGGACAACACGCCTTCCCAGGGAAACGCTTATTTTGTGCCTACACAAAGGGACCAGAGATAACCCTGTTTACACCAAAGCAAATTTCCTCTTACTAGTCTCACAATGGTCAATCCTTCTCTCCTCTCTCTCTTTGGGTTCTGCCTTCCTGGTGACAAGGAACGTTCCGATGGAGTATAATATCAAATTTACAAGAGATTCCAGGGTTGAATGCTTCCTCTCATTAAAACCTAGGAAATACATTTTGAAAAATTAGACTTCTAAAGTCTTTAAAATGATCTAAATTCCCACTGCATAATCCTCTCACTTATATTTCCATCCTGGCATCTCAAAATTCCTCAGACTTCAAGCATTCAGAATATAAATCATGCAGACACATATCTATGCTTGAAACATGAGCCATCTTCAGTTACCTGAGCTGCCAGCAGACACTGGGTCACTCTGACAGACTATTTCATAAAAGAGGACACTTAAAAGATACCACTGTCTCATACTAACAAAGAAGGAGGGTCTTAAAAGATCGTGCTGTGAAGCACGAACCAACTATCAGTACAGACAATAAAGTATAAGCAACCTCACTGCTACACAAGGTCATAGCAACAGCAGTCAGGGTGAACATGACAGCAAGTTAAGAACACATTCCAGAATATATAGCAGGTGAGGCAAGGCCACAGAGAACTCTCAGAGAAATAATCAGCCACGCTATTAAAGAAGTGGACTCATGTGGCCAGCCTCACGTTCCTCAGCCCTGCTTCCAGGAGAGGGGTCTAATATCCCCGGTGGCAGTGTTTCACTGATGGGTTATCTTGAATTTTCCTGAGTGGCATCTATCCCAAAGAACAATGAGCAACAAGACAATGATGATAATAGAAGCTCAAGTGAGTGGCTTGTTTTCCATAATGCTTGAAGTTTTCATTAAGCATGAAAAGAGAACATGAATGCTACTTCAGCTCCAGGCAATGACCTTTCCATGCTGAGCTAGCTCTACCATTACACAGCCAAGTAACCTTGAGTAGTTTCTTACTGTTCTGCTTTTCTACAAAATGGGAAAGTTAAATGATTAGGTAAGGAACAATACCTGGGTCTTACCCATGTTTGCACTCAGTGTGCCAAGTATTACAAATTCCCACTCAGACGTATGTGGAATGAACTCTATAGTTTCATCTAGCCACAGAATGTTCATACCTCCAGGATACTACAGCTAGGATCCAAAATACAGTAAAGGAGTCATTGGAAAAAACCTTTCTTTTTTGAGAATATACACACATATACATATATATGTAAGTGTATAGTTATACACATATATCTCACAGATATGTGTGTGCATATATACACCTATATATTTCTCAAATGGGTATTTATAAATTAGAACAGGTATATAGTGTCTACATGTGTGTATCTCAGCATATTACCTATTTTTAAGCTAAGTGAGGGACCTGGCTAAAAAATTCAAAGTATTATGATTATCAAGATAAGAACACAGAAAATATTTTTAAATAGTATTATATAAATGTTTCAGACCATTTAAACATTTTTTAAAAGGATGGAGCAGAATGTTATTGTTATATTCCTGTTCATCACAAAAAAAAAATTAACTATGTTAACTCCTATACCAAGAAAAATATGTCAAAAGCCACAAGTGACCCCAATTTGTCTTTTGATAAATGCACAAGACATATCATGCAGAAACATTACATTATTAATTTCCAGAATGTATAATTTAAAAGAGTTGTCAGACCAGAGGCCTTGAATATTAAAAAAAAAAAAAAAATCTTACCTTGGGGAGGGTAAAGAACCTGACATACTTGGGGGTGGGGTTAGAGAAACTAGTTTATTATAGAATCTTTTTAGCAACAGACCATCATCCCTCCCAAACACTACAGGAATGCAACACATTGGCATCCCCAGTATACCCAGGGCTCCTCAGTTAGTATTTGGATTCTCGCCTTTATTAATGGATTTCTCAAAGATTCATCCAACATTTTGGGTATTTTGGCAGCAATAAATCTAAATAGGCAAAGAAGGTTGCAGAGAGGTGTCAGTCATTGAAAACTCTTCAGGACATAAAAACGGGAAGTAGCTGGCCTTCCCTGTGGCACAACTGGTTAAAGGACAGCACTAAGAAGCTAAAGCCACTGAAGCAAGAGTTCGATCTCGACCCCGGAGGTGGCCCACATGACGCAGCAGACCTCTCCTGACCCACCCACTGCTCCCCTCAGCAGTGTACTTTGTTGTGGGCATGTTCTGCTCCCCACTGTGTCTCAGGTGAATCCTCTCACACACCACATCTCTGGTCTGTACAGCAGGACAGACTGAGGGATGTCAGCTTCCTGTTAAGGCCTCCAGGGGTGGCAGGTGGAATAGCATAGACTTTAACCCCTTGAGCAGAGGATTTTTTTAAGCAGATTAAAGTGCTGTGCCTGCTTCAGAAGCTTCCAGCATAGAAGAGGGGTGGGGGGTGGGGTGGGAGGGGAAGACAAAAAGAAAAGGACAATTCTGTAGTGACTATAGCTGGGGGGAAAAAAATCCCCATTTTTATGTTCTGAAGAGTTTTCATGACTGACACCTCTCTGCAACCTTCTTTGCCTATTTAGATTAATTACTGCCAAAATACCTTAAGAAGTTGGATGCATCTTTGAGAAGCCCATTAATAAAGGGGAGCCATCTGGCTACACTTCAATATTAAAAATGTCTTTTAACCACAAATTCCACATTTGAGTTTGGGTTTCCAAAGAAATGGCATGTCAGTTTCTAAACTAAAAGAGAAACGTAGTACCTACATCATCTACATTATACTTTCTTTGTTTTCAAAATTTCTATTAAAAATATAAATCTTCCAATGACTCGTCTCAGGTTTAAAAAAAAAAAAACGACTAGAGCCGATGCACACAACTCGGGCGCACCCCTTTTTACGAAATACTTGTCATTAAATAACCTTCAGGTACAGCTAGCAGAACTAGAAAATCATGGTCTAGCTTAAGTGGAGTGTTTAAGAAGGTGTTGCGGTCCTGGAGTCAAGTACTTTCAATGTAGGCGACACATTTGTAATCAACAGATTCAGTCGACTGTTACTAGGAAGAAAGTAGGCAAACGGTTAATATCACTTAAGATTCGGTGAGGCTACAACTCCGGGAACTGAAAGCCCGAGAAGAAGGGGACAGGGTCTGACTCCTAAAGTTTGTGTTTCCGCAAGCGGTAAACACAACTCCGGAGAATAAACCCTAAGGTCTGTACTCCCCGCAATCCCCTTTACCTCGGTCCTGCATCACCCCCAAATAAAAATACAGCTACTACTACACTGCCCCGTGGTCACGCAGGAGGCTGGGACTTGTTCCTGGCACAAATAGCAGATGCGGAGGTCTGAGGACCTCACACGTGGGGACGTTCGCACCGCCGCCCACGCCAGGGGGTTCCACGCCCCCGCTGAGGCGGAGACAGCTGGTGACGGTCACCTTCGGACAGGAAGATCCTTTGAGCCGGCCCCACACTTGCGAAAGCGGCGCGGCCCTCCCGAGCCGGGGACACGCGCCGGGCCCCGCAGCCGGGCGGCGCGGGGCACCTGAGGAGCGCGGCGGGGGCGGGGACTCGGACGGGACCGGGAGGCGCGGGGACCGCGAGCAGCTCGGGGCGCACGGCCCTTCCGGGGGACTCACCTGAATCTGCAGCGGCACGAGGCGCACCTTGCAGCGCTCGCTCACGGCGAAGCCCTTGGGCAAGTCCACGTACTGGCCCCACTCTTCCGCGAAGAGCTGCACCACGAATTTGCGGTGCATGTCGATCTGATCGCCGTACAGGCTGAGGAACTTCTGGATGAGCAGCTCGTAGCCCGCGCCGTGCGGCACGGACGAGGGCCGCGCGAAGACCGAGAAGCAGAAGAGC